AGGTTCTTGCTGACCAGTAAGTCAAAGGCCAGGGAGGGCAGAGCCAGCGATGGGACCAGGCTCCTCCTGAAGGCCCAGTGCAGGGACTGGGAGACTGGGAAAGGGTCTTAAACGACCCCATGTTGGCACAGGAGTTCAGCACAGCCTCCGAAGGTTCATGTGCCTCAGCCTCTACACCAGGGGCGCAAGCTCTCTGGGCATCTTAGGAGAGCCAGTTTAAGTGTGGCCTTTGGAGAGGTTCTCGGTGCGCTGCTGAGATGGGGGCCTGTGGGGCAGGCATCAGGAACCCTGGGTTAGAGCCCCATTTTTTGCCTGCGCGAGTGTATTTTCAGAGCATTCAGTGAGACCTCTCCAGTGTCCAGGTCCCAAGAACAAGGGCTGGGGAGAATGTCTTCAGTGACATTGGGACAAGACTTGAACTTTCTGCTCTGGGCTTACGGGGTGCTCGGGGCTGCGGGTGCTTGGGAAGGACAGCAGAGTACACAGAGGTGGCAGTCAAAGGGCCGTGGGGAGCAGCTTACGAGGCGAGAAGCTGTGCCTCAGCGAGGCTGAACAACTTGTTCAGGCTGCACAGTCAGTAACCGGTCCCCGGTCCAGACCCATCCCTTTCACTCCAAACGTTTTCTTTTTTTCCCCAGAGGTTTTTGCCTTAGGGTGCTTGCGCTTACTGGACCAAGAGACAGAGATAGTGAGAGGGAAAGTGAGAACCCTCCCTGGGGGGGTGGGGGTTGGAGGGGAATAGCCATGCTACAATCCGCTCCCGGGATCTTGGGCACACATGCACATGCGCCTAGTGTGATTTTCATGCCGGCGGGCCTGGGACTTGAACACAGTCGACCATGTGGAGTCCAGTAACGTAACTGCTACACTATCTCCTGGCCTCCCACGCCTAAGCCTTTTTAACCAGCCTCTTATCCTCACGCATCCTTTCTTTTGGCTGCGTATTAAGCGCACGCGTCCCTAGGCAGGGTGGTATGGCAGGGGAGTGGGGCTGATAGGAGGTTCTGCGGTCAGGCTCTATAACCCTGAAGACAGGACCTGGAGGCCCAGAGGGCAGGAGGCTTGCTGATCCTGCGCTGGAGACTCGATATCGCCCAGGCTGGAAGCAGAAGGAAGCGCCTTAGAGTAGACCCAGCTGACTAGGGTTCCTCCTTCCCCTCCAGCTTGGGTACCAAGGTGTCGAAAGACAGCTTCCAAGAGAGGTCACGGTGTGAAGGACCGCCTTTGACAGCCACGCTGGCTGCAGTGCCGTGCCGCAGTTCTCCCGTGCTGTAGGGCCTCCCGCAGGACTCTCTCCAGCTCCTCTTCCAGATTTTCTCCTGCTCCTGGCTTTAATGAGGCTGTGGAGAGGCCTAATCCCCTATCTTTTAGCAGCCAGCAGCACCTGCAGCCCAACTCAGATATATCTGTCTCCTCCGCCGGGTCAGAGGCCCAGCACCTGGGCAGGGGCCAGGGATTGGCAGGTCATCTCTGGCCCTGGGTTGCTCCCAAGGGCTTCAGCAGAGAGCTGGCTCCCAGGCTTAGCTGCTGATGCGCGTGCAAACGAGGAGCCGGTCTCCCTCCTTCTGCTCAGTTTTTGGGTACCTATGTTCAGCTGATTTTGACTTCCACAGGAAGTCATGGAGCACACATCCCTGTGTACCCAGCACTGAGCTAGGAGCTGTTTAGGGCGCAACCCTCTTATGAGGAGACAGGATGGTGTACACAAAAGATCAGATGATACCGGAATATAATTAGAATGAGTGAGTGTGGACCTCTGTAAAGCCAATGGTGTAGGAACGCTGGTTCGGGAGCAGTGTTCAGTACATAGTAGGTATTTATAAAACGCTGTCGTATGAACGAGTGAATGAGAACCTGAAGACCTCAGTGAAACTGTCGATCTAAAGAAGATCTTAGGCATCACCTGGTCCAACCCAGAGAGGTTAATGACTGGCCCAGAGTCACACAGCAAGGGCCCGTGGACTCTGTGTCTGGGGCCCTTTCCAACTTTCCACCTTTGCATTCCGGGCTGAGATTCAAAGGCTGGAGATTTCGATGGGCCTAATATCAAAGGCAGACAGGGTGAGGGGAGCAGGGCTGCCAGCGTGGAGTGGCAGGGGTCTGGTGGTATGTTGGAGGAGAGTGAAAAGCAGGAAGAAGAAACGCGTATTGAGCACCTGCTGTGAGGTGGGGGCCAGCGTGGCATGAGCTGAGAGCAAATCTCTTCAGGAAAAACCTGGACACAGGCAGAAAAGCAAGCGGATCCTTGGAGGTCAGACCAAGGAGGCTGGCTGGGCGGGTTGGAGAGCAGAGGATGCCCAGGTCGTGGGCCGAGTGCCTGGTGCCCTAGCACATTTTTCCCCCCAGCTCCCACTTGCTCATCGAGGGCACAGAAAGTAGAACACCTCACTCTCTGGGGCTTCAACAAAGCCCAGAATAATTTTCTTACCCAGATTCTTCTTCCCGTGTGTGCCTGGCTGAATGCTGAGGGGTCCCCAGCTGCCCAATGCTGGCACACGCTGTCCCGAGAACTGCCAAGGGCATCCTCCCCGGGCCTGTGCACCTGTCCCTTCCAGCCTCGTCCTCCCCACCCCACCTGGGAAGCAGAGCTGGCATTGACAGCTTTGAGGAGTGCAAGCACAAGGTGGCCCTGAGCCCACAATCAGGACTGCTCGCTCCCCTCAAAGCTGCTACCCTGCCCGGCTTCCCTTCCAGGAACCCCATTTCCTGCTCTCTGGTGCTCCACTGCTGCCAGAAGCCTCAGATGGAAAACAAGCCCAGCCCCACTTCCTCTGTTTAACTGCCGAGCTACTTGCAGAATGCCTGGGAGAGGAAGGCAAGGCCAGGCAACTGCCTCCTCCCAGAACAGGCCCGGCCTGGTGGGGGGAGTCTCTGACAGGCCACGGCATGCTGGCTGGGCCCTCCTTGAGGGACTCGGAGATGACAGACTGGAGGGAGAGCTGCTGGGAACAGGGGTGCTGAGCCTTAGGGACAGCAGCTGGCCATGTTCCCGACCTTACAAGGACAACAGGAGTCAAGGACACAGACTCTGGGCTTAGGTTCTCACTTCCGCTCCTTACCAGCTGGCTGACCTTGGAGGAGTCAGCCTGGCAGCTCTGTGCCTCCGTTTCCCCACCTGTAAAAGGACGAGCAGAAGATCAGCCTCGCAAAGTTATTATGAGGATTCAATGAGCTACTTTAGTTTATCCACTTGACTTTATTCAGCAAGGTTTCTTGAATGGCAGTGTCCAAGAAATATTAGCTATCGTTTTCTTATCCCTGTGTACATAGCATGCGCTTATTAAACAAATATTTACTGGAAAATATTACGTTCCAGTCTCGAGGACACCAAGCTGATTGCAGCACCAGATGGAGGCTTCTAAGGGCCGGGATGGTGTCGTGTGCATCCTGGCTGTGCAGGTTCTGGAGCGTAAATGTTTAGCGAGGCGAGCTGACACCATTTCTGTCCTCGAGAAATTCACAGCCTTTCTGGAGTAGCAAACACATAGGCAACGAGAGGACTAATTACAGAGCAGTGTGATTAGAGCACACCCGGGGAAGGTGCGATCTGATCTCCCCAGAACGAAGCCTAAGAATAAAGAGTGAGTAAAGACCAGCACAGTCTGGTCTCCAGAGGTCTTTCCAGCTCCCGGGGCATCCCCCAGCTCCCTGCTCTTCAGCCACACTGGCCTTTCCGCTCTCCTGCAGACACAGCAAGGACACTCCTCTCTCAGGGCCTTCGCCGTTTCTGTTCCTTTCTCTTAGAACACCGTTCTCCGAGAAGGTCACACGGTTCACTCTCCAGATTCATTCAGGTCTGTCCTATGTCACTTCCCTAGCTCGGCTGCACTCCTGTCATCATGCTCTTCCCCCTTTTCTTGGCTTTATATTTTCTCTAGCATATCTCATCACGGGACAGTGTATTACATTGGGTTGGCAGGAAATTCTCGACACATTTTTTGCATAGAAAACCAAAAACAAGTCATGACTTTCCCAACAACCTAATACATTGGCTGTTTTCCGGATGTTTGTCCCACTAAAATCTAAGCCCTGGGGCCAGAAGATGGTGTAGTGGTTACGTTGCTGAACTCCCACGTGGCCAACCGTGGCTCGAGTCCCAGACCTGGTGGCTTCAAAACTCACACCGGGCGCATGTGCGTGTGTGCCTGAAATCCCAAGAGGAGAATGGAGGAGAGGGGATTGAGGCCTGGCCATCCTCCTAGGGGGCGATTTCTCATTTTCTGTCTCTCTGTCTCTCCAGCAAATGGCACATGCCCTATAGTCAAAATCTCCCCCCAAAAAATTCGAAGCTGTTGTGTTCCCTGATACAGTGTGTGATCAGAAGTCACTCGTGAGTATTTACAGAAGAAACTACTTTGCAAGCGCTTTCATCTCTTATTTAATCCTCATGTGACTCTATGAGCACAATTATCACTCTATCATACCGATGAAAACACCGAGTTTCAGATAAGCTCCCTGACACATGTATTCATTAGTTTATCTGTTTCTATTCTTCCTTATTTCAAAAGCAATTTAATGCAACTCAGAGAGGTTTCTGACCTAACCCAGGTCATGCAGCTGGCCAGTGGTGGAGAAGGACTTGCACCTGTGTCTTCAGGCTCCTTCCTCACTGCCGTTTTCACGGTGCCACCAGCTCACGTGCCTGACCTTGTGTTAGGTGAGGTCATGCACCCCCAATCAGTGTACTCAGTGGTTGTCATGACGTCGGAGTCCTCAACAGGACCACAGGGTGAAACCAGGGAGGTTACGTGGGCAAGAAAGGCAGACTGGGGCTAACAGGCAGAGTCCAGCCCGGGCAGGCCTGGTGGCTGCCTGGCAGCCTCTGACTCGGGGCTGTCTCCTGGCTGCTGGGCTGGGCTTGTCCCCACCTGCCCCTTGCCTCCTCACCCAGCCTCCTGCCCAGCCAGCGGAAGGCGCCTATGAGCCCTGTGGTCCTCCGCTCAGGCGGCCAGCCGGCCTCCAGCAGGCCCCCCCGGTCAGGAAGTGCCGAAAGAGGAAGAGAGTCGCCGGGCAGGATGAGCGTGCTGGGGGCCAGCCACAGTGCTTGGGGAGATTGCAATGAGGCCGCAGCTCTGGGCCCCGCGGAGGCGCTGGGCACAGAAGAAAGGGAGCAGCCGGGGGCACTGAGGCAGATGTGGCGCTACCGCTCCTGGGACGTGCCACAGATCCCAGCCGAGGCCCCCCAGACACAGTAGGTACAAGGGGTGCTCTGGGAGTGGGCGCGGGCCTCTGCCCTTCTGAGTCTTTTGTCTGGGCTGGGGGGGAGGCAGTGGCAGAAGTGGGGTTACCCATCCATTATCCAGCAACTCCGCAGAGGAGCAGAGGAGACCAAGGGGGTTCTTGGCAGAGTGGGGGACACTCTTGTAGGGGGTCAGCAAGATGGAGGGCTGAGCTCAGGAAGCTCGGGGCCTCCAGTGCCCAGTCTTCTAAGCTAGGAGTTGGAAGTAACAGCTGAGGGTCTGGGGGAGGCGCCCCTGTCAGAGTGTGGCATTGGATGCTGAAGGCGTCTGAATCAGCAGGGAGGAGACTCAGCGGGGTCTCCGGCCATCTCTGGTCTTCTCTCAGAGCTCGGTGTGAGAACCGTTGGGAAACTTCCCTAAATGCACTCCAAGAGGCCACTGTCAGGTCCCTTTGGGGACTTTTGTGCCCTCTTCCCGTCACCCTGATGCCAGTTGCTGGCTGGAAGGCTGGTCCCCAGCTCCCTTCCCCAGGCCCACAGGAGACCCAAAGGGAGCTGGGAGAGGTCCGGCCTCTGGGAGCTCCTTGCCCATGACCCTGGCACTGACTATGTTTAGCTGGTAGAGGATGGGATATGGATTGCCAGGACCTCAGAGCAGAGGGTGAAAGTGAAGGTGACACAGGATGTGGCTTTGCAAAGAAGAGCTTAAGCAGAAACAGCGGGCAGCTGCTGTGGGCATCAGGGTGGCAGGGTGTGGGGACCCGCCTTCCCTGTCAGCCTTGCAGGGGTAACAGACAGTTTGAGCTGTGTCCAAGCACGGGGAGCTGTGCCCCCACAGTCAACCGCTCTGGTTCCAGTTGCTCTCATTTCTGGAGGGGGACAATCTCTGCTGCCTTTGGGGGTGTGTTGGTGTGTTTGTGTGTGTGCGCGGGGTATATTACTGGATGTGTGTGTCAGAGGGCTATAGCAGCATATATTCATGGTCCCGGTGGGTATTCGTGCATAGCAGAAAGATGTGTTCGTATACAGTTTACACAGAAAGAGAAAGAGGGAGCATGAGGGACAGGCACCCCCAACCAAGTCCTCACACCATAATCCACCCCCCCACCCTAGCTGGCCACCTCCTGCACACACAGGATGCGAACCCGGGACCTTCCTATATGGCTTCAGTATATCTGGGGGCCGTTACTGCTGCACAGTGACTGGCCAGAGAGATGTGTATGTCCTATGTCTGTGTGTATAGATGTGAGCAAGAGGGTGGTAGGCTGTAACTGTTGCCCTCGTGTGTGTGTTTGAGTGTGTAAGAGGTGTGCAGGGGGTTCCTGTAGTGCGAGATCTGTAGGCTCCATTGGATATAGCGTTGGGAAGATGCGATGCACTCAAAGTGGGTGAAAGGGTTGGAAGCCATGTGTGAGTGGGGAAGGATGTGTTTGTGTGAGAAGTATGTGTCTTCTTTGTTGGGATGTGAGGATCATTAAGTGACTGTGGTCCCTGAGTCTGGAAGGCTGGGGTGGCATGTTCCCAGCACAACCTTGTGAAGGGCCTGTTTGTTCTGGGTGCGTGGCGGGCACTATGCGACTCTGGTTCCCGTGGGTGTGATTTGCGAGGACCAAGGGGGTAAGGCTGGGGAATGTGTGAGTGGCTGAGTGGCACCAGGCGTGCAAGAGCAGAATGTATTCCATGTGGCTGTTCTGTGACTGTATTCGGAAGGGAGGTGGTGACAGCCGCCCTCGCGGGTGTACACTTGTGAGCATGTGGGTTGTTTGGTAGGGGAGGGCTAAAGCGAGGGAACAATTCTGCCCGGGTGCGCGCAGTGCGGGTGCGTGGCCCGAGTTCCGTCCTACGCGGGCGGACCAGCCAGGGGCTGGGGGCGGAGTCTCTGCTGCCCCGCCCCTCTAAGCCCCGCCCCCCAGGGCCGCCCG